ATTATTACTATTATTATTATTATTATTAAAGGGAGGAGTCTAGGAGGCTTCCTTATCCGTTGAATGACAAAAAGTTGCGCAACTTCCATCTGCACTCCTGCTGCGATCCCCTGGTGACAGCTGTCCTGTACATTGCCCCCAGTCAGCACTCCAAGACGTGGAGGATGCGGCTCGGAGCATGTGATTGGTTCAAAGTGTGTGGGCGTTTTTGGGCTGTGTGACACCGCTATCTGCTACTCACTTCCAGAGGGTGGTTTTTGTTTCTAAACATGGATAGTTTCGAAGAGAAATTCACCGAGGCGGTCCGGAGGTACAACCATCTGTGACTCCTCCACTGCGTCGGTGCGTGCTGAAGGTAAGGGGAGATCTGGTGGGCAAGTTTCTCGAAACGAGCAGCGGACATTCGAAAATAGAACTATTTTTCATCATCCATCTCCTGCATCTGTTGAACCAACAAGTTAAACTCGGAACTAGCAACTAGCAGTTATTTACATGCTAAGCTATGCGTGTGACATATGCGGTGGGAGGGCAGAGGGAGGGATGTATCCCCCACATCTTTTCCCAGTATAAACACTCAATGCAGTCGGTGACACACACGCAATTACGTCATCGCTGGGCTGCAGCTGCACGTCTCACATGAAGTATAAACAAAGCTTAAGAGTGATTCCCTTTAGAACCAAAGCAGGAGCTGTGTCCGCATTCTTGGTGCAAAGTCAAGCTCATTCTTAGTGTGGGTTCCTGTTTGTAGTGCTTATGGACAGGATCTCAAGGCGCGGTTGTGGAGAGGAGGGTGTCTGGTTTGGGCACCACAGAGTCTTGTGTCTGCTGTATGCAGATGATGTGGTTTTGTTGGCATTTTCAGGCCAAGACCTTCAGCGTGCACTGGGGTGGTTCACAGCAGAGTGTGAAGCTGCTGGGATGAGAGTCAGTTCCTCTTTGAGGCCATGGTTCTTGACCGGAAAAAGATGAAATGCCCCCTCCGGGTTGGGGAAAGGTCTCTGCCTCAAGTGGAGGAGTCGAAGTATCTAGGTGTCTTGTTTATGAGTGATGGTAGGATGGAGTGAGAGATGGGGTGATGGATTTGGGCCTCGTCCTCAGTAATGAGGGTGTTGCTGCAGTTGGTGTTGGAGAAGAAAGAACTGAGTCAAAAGGCAAAGCTCTCAATTTACTGGTCTGTTTGGGTTCCAACCCCCACCTGTGGTCATGAGGCATAGATCATGACTGAAAGAACAAGATCTCGGATACAAGCGGCTGAAATGAGCTTTCTTTGTGGCCATGCTCAGCCTTAGAGATACAGTGAGGAGCTCCATCATCTGGTGGAGCTTGGAGTGGAGCCGCTGCTAATCCGCACTGAAAGGAGTCAGTTGAGGTGGTTCATTTGATTAGGATGCCTCCTGGATGCCTCCCTTTAGAGGTGTTCAGAGCACGTCCCACTGGTAGGCGGTCCCAGGGACAAACCAGGACTCATTGGAGGGATTATGTATCATCTCTGGCCTGGGAAAGCCTTGGGGTTCCCCAGGATGTCGCTGGGGAGAGGGATCTTTGGGTGTCTTTCCTGGACCTGTTGCCTACCCAACCCAACTATGCATAAGTGGCAGAAGATGGAGATGGAGAAAAGTATTAAGGTTTTTCTTCAAGCTCCTCATGTTTTCTGCTATCCTGGCTCCACTTTCACAAACCCTGGCAGTTGGCTCTAGCTTTTCAGTATCACTGTCACTTGATAAATCCTGTCAAACATTCATCAAATTGGAATAAAGGTATTGTCTAAAAACATTGTAAGACTTACGGAATGATGACTCTGCAGATCCTCCTCTTAGGATCTGGTTAAGGACATCATCGGTGTCGCTGGTGCTTGCCATGCTGTTCCTCATTTGCATCATAGATAGTTGAGAGCAAAGGCTAGGCTGACGATCCATTTTTTTCAGTGCCTAAGACACATTTACCAACAACATCTTCACAATTATTCACATCAAAACAATAAACAAACAGCTATATAGTCTAAACTTAATGTGTTATAAGGATCATTTAGGAATGAGGAGGAAATAATTGTGTCCCTCCAATGGGAACAAAAAAGATTCCAGTCAAAAATTATAATAACCCCGATTCTCACACTTAGATAATCTCAAGTGAATAGGAAGTGTGTGTGTTTGTGTCCTGATACATCTCTGTGTGTGTTTGTGTTGTATGTGAAACATATATTTTTATTGTTTATTTTAGTCTTTGTATTGATAGTTTTAAATGTTTTTAAAATTCAACCAAGGACTGGGTTGGTAAATTAGCTGTCAGCTAGAAGGCACATAACAATGGCTACATTGTGACTATTTTAGGTTTTGTCCCTTTTTAAAAATAAATCAATTCAAAACTAAATCAAAATGAAACTCATTACCTTGTCACTGAGCGTGGGATCATTCAGAGAGTACAGTTTGTTGGTGATATCTTTGCCAATGAGATACCGAAACACCTCACTCAGGAAAGTGTCAGATTCCAGGAAATACGTGAGCCTCTCTCGTGACCAGCACAGAAACTTACAGTTTTCTTCTGCCACAATAGTCACCTGTTAATAAAAGCACAACAATTCAATTCCTTGTATATATTTTTTTTTTAATTAATTTTTTTGGTCATGACCATTGGTGAGAGATGGCAAGTAGACAAACTAGTAAGTCAAGAGTTTTGCCTTTCAGCTCAACTCTCTTCACTACAAGAGATCAGACCAATGCCTTCATCACTTTAGATGTGGTCCCAATCCATTGATCCATCTCATGCACCATACTACCATCTCTCTGGAGCAAGACTCCCACATAAACTCTTCTGCTTGATGCAAAGACTCATTCCCAACCTGGATGGAGCATTCCACGATTTTATGGTTGAGAGCTGTGACTTTAGACTAAGAGAAACCACTTCACACTTGTCCATGAACCTTCCTAGTGCATGCTAAAGGTCATGGTAAAAAGACACCAACACATCAAACACACATCATCTACAAAAAAAATGTAGACAAGACCCTTGAACTAGGGCCAGCCCTGGTGGAGTACAATGTGCACTTGAAAGAATCTCAAATACAGACTTAAATCTGATTTGGCTATAGAGGGACCCGATGGCTGTTGTAGTGACCACATTAACCCACAAACCCAGCTCCCACAGAATGCTTCAAAGAAAATGGTCATAAGCCTTCTTCAGATCTACGAAACATGTAGACTGAAATGTCAAACTCCCATGACAAATCCATTAATCATATGTATGATTAAGTTTTTTGTATATTTTACCAGAGAAGACATGGCACCAGGATGTGCTGTGTGGAGGATGTTGACTAACTACATTCCTTCTTGGAACTAATGTTTTGATAGCTTTGGCCTTGTTCAGAAAAGAACAAGTGCTACAAGATTTTGATCGACACAAGTTTGAGGTGTTGACTTGTTCAGATCTCAGTCTGACAGTTAATGGGATTTTGGCTGAACCAAAAAATCAAGCCTATGGAGACTCAAACAGGTTTCAGGTATAAAGGGTTGGCTTCTAATGAGTCAGACACAAACTTCAGAGGACCAGTTGTAGAAATGCCTCCACAGCCCAGGGGTCGGATTTATAAAACGGGCGTAAGCACAATTTGAGCCCAGAAACTTGCGTACGCCACTTTGTACGCCAAGGTTGTGATTTGTAAAATCCAAACTTGATGTGAAAATGTGCGGTGTCTCACGCCAGCTTTGACCCATGCGTACGCTCATTTTGGAGAGGTGAAACTGCGACACAGATGGTGAAGTGGTGAATTAGAGCCACACTATGTAATGATCACTGTCAGATATTTAATTTACCTTCATAATCAGACTTAAATTTTTATTCAACTTTATCATCAGCTTTCTTAACAGTAATATTTATGCTTCTGCTGCTGAGCCATGAGGACCTTTGAAATAAAAAAAACTTAAATCTTAAATAAACGTTCCCGTGCGCAACTCGGTTCATCTGTTTTCTCCTCAGACGACCCTGACCCACAGACCTCTCCCCGAGCAGGACAGCAAAAGTCATGCTTTGGATACACGCGCAGTGCGCATCCACCTCGCCAGCGTGGATGTTATAAAACTTAACGTTTAAAGTCCGTATTTGTCACGTGCGGGGGGGATGCGTGCGTGTATGTGTATGCGGGGCAGGGGTGTCTGCCGCAGATAACAGAGCAGGCAGGAGGGGGAGATGATGAGGAGAAGAGCAGTGAACTTATTTCTAATTTTATCTGACTTGTTTAAATTTATTTTTTATTGTTTTTATCGTCCTGTAGGCTCTGAGGGAAAATTAATTTGAAGCTGAGTTTTTTTTTATAAAAATCATTAGATTACTCTAAAGCAAAATGAGGGAAAATCTGTCAATTACAGATATTCTGTTCACGTGAGCAGCTGTCAGTCAACACCTGTCAACCTCCAGACGCACGACGGAGCGTGTCTGAACCAATCAGTTTTGTTGGCATTGATCAGCTGACTGATTTAAATACATCTTAACATTCATGAGGTACTTTACATTGACTGTTTATGGTTGAGTGTGGGCGTGTAGAGGGTAGAACCTGAGGCGGGACCTCGTGCGCAAACTCTGACATGCGGCTGTGATTTATTAATGAAAGATGCGCAGAAACGTGCGTATGCATAGTTTTATGAATCTGAAATTTTTTTTGGCGTACGCCATTTCCACCTTTTGGCCGTACGTTCACTTTTAGTATGGTTTCCACACAATCCTTTATAAATGAGACCCCAGGACTGTTTGTTGGCATCTAACAAATGATACTACTCAATACTAGATGTTTAGTGCATGTAACGTATTTACTTTTTTCTTTCTGGTGTTTACCTGGAATTTCTCTCCTCTGTGCATTTCAGTGGACCTGAACTCTGGAGAGTCGATGAATGAGTTGGTATAGATGTTGTGAAGGAAATGGCCTCGGTATGACACCTTCATCCTGTCACACAACAATCATTAGTAAAACTTTGGATTCATCTTAAAGCTAAAAAACAATATTTGTTTAAACTATTTAAAACATTTTGTGTGAAAACATAGTTGATGTTGGTAAAACGTCAAGCCAGTACCCCACTATGCTGTGTCAAGTTTAACACTACACTTTTGCAAAAACAGTTGCCAGCCAGGACACTTAGGTAGCACAAATCCAAAAAGAGTAGATTAGATTGGACCTCCAGCAGACCCTGGGTGCTGGGACTCTGATGCAAGCTGCTAGTAACTTTTGCTAACTGGTGTTTATGATTTGTTAATGATTTTGTACAAGGCCCTGAGGTGAATTTTGTTGTAATTCTGCAAATTGGTCATCAAATTATTGGAGGTATGTCAAGCTATTCTGTTGTTCTAGAGAAAATAGCTGTGTGTTTTTTTGACCTGTTCATTTATTTAGTTTTATTGCTTTATAATCTTGTAGTATTTGTAACTTGACATTATCCAAAAGGAACAGCCTCAGTTCCTCCCAAAATTAGTTGAGTTGTGCAGGACATTCTTGAGATATGACTGAGTCAATGTTGAGGTATTTCTGAAACCTGAGACATCTGTGCAGTAAGAGTGCAAACACCTGGAGATTTTTTATCTTAATGCCAAATGTTGGTAAGACATTTGTGTAACGTATACAGATGTCTCAACTACCAAACTGTGAAATAATGCATAAAAATTCAGTTGTAGTTATTTATCATTATTTAACCAGGCAAGCCCCATTGAGATCGCAGATCTCTTTTTCAAGGGAGGCCTGGAGGTAACCTATTGTACATGTTTTTTGTAGTGTCACCACCACGGGCCTCCAACTTGACTCAACAATTATAGTTGGATTCTAGCTTCAAGAAAGTACTGTAGTAGTTGTTCTTCTTATAACAGATTTCTACATCTTAATCATTAGAAATTCTCTCTAAAAATATTTAAATTGCTCTCGTGACTACCTCTAAATGTCAGATTTATTTAAAGAATGTTTGTAGTGAGCAGCTTGTCTTGTGAGCAGCACATACTTTCCTTTAAGCAGAATGCTGAGGCGTTCGTCCACAGAGGTCTTGTCTTCAGCAGCGTAGGCCTGGCCCTTCTTCAGGGTCTGGATGGTACAGAACTGTCCTGTGAGTCTCTGAAACAAGGCTTCTCGAACATGGAGGGGCTCAAACATCCGCTTGTAGACGGACCTCAGCTCTCTGTCAATCTTAATCTGACAGAACACAGATCAACAAGAAGTCATCCATCAAATGGCAACGTAAAATTTCAAACCCTGGAAAAAATGATAGAATCAACGCTTTAATGAACACCTGGAGGACGTTCTTTTAATTCTTTGAGTTTGTATTAAAAAGTAAATCAGGTCCACGTCAGTTCAACAATAAAGAAAAGGCTTACACCCCCGCGCCCAATTTTTTCCAACAGTGACAAATATTTTACATTTTTAGGATGTATTATACAACATACCTAAATTTCTCAATTCTCAATCAGCAATCATGACATCATAATTTTAAAATCACGTCAAAGTTACCTAAAGACATCAAGAAAGCTGCAGCTGTGCATTTAACCAGTTAAATTCTATTGCGATAGAGCAAATTATGTAATTTTATTGAGGGATTATATTGACTGGATCATATTATTGTGGGGGCCATAACCCCTTTAATCCCCCGCAAATAACATGTTTGTCTGCAGGACACAGAACCGTCCTGATTACTCCATGGCAGGGACAGTGATGACAAAATGAAACACAACTCACGGGTCTGAGCTTGTACAGAAGGTAAAACAAGTGCATGAAGTTGACCAGAAGAAAGATCACATTCCAAACCATCACATCCAGGTTGCAGCGGTACAGAGTGGCCCAGGCGATGAAGAGACTGCACCCTGTCCAAAACAAGGAAGCAGAACAGAGTTAACGATGGTTTAACCAGGTAGATAACATTAAGGTCTCTGGGTATAAAGATTACATACTTCAGTAGGAGGGGACAAAAGATCAGTAGAATGTAAAAATCTGAAAGCTACCAGTAATTTAAATCCTGGGGTTAAATGAAGACATGAGCTTTTGTACCTATTTTACTAGAAACTGTCTTCAGACAGCATTTTACACAATGACAGAACCCAAAGTTAAAGTAGCCACAAATGCAAACGGTGACCAACAACCTTCCATCAGAGCATTCTAACACATTCTCGTCAAGTTGTACAGATTGCCCATAATTTACACAGAATTTCCCTCATTTTGCAGGTAAACGGACGCATAGAGTAATCTCACGGAGTTTTTCAAGTTTTACGGATATTTTCAAGAACTCAGTTTCAAAGTTATTGTACATCTCAGAGCCGGACAGGAAAAAAAAAAAAAAATAATAATATCAGGTAACCATCTTTCAACCCACTCTGCCCCTAGAAATAAAGTCATCCGTCCTCATTTCCTCCTTCTTTGCACTGCAGGTGCTGTCATCTCCGCAGCCTGCACCACCTCCCCACCCACCCAACCCGCATTCGTGATTAATACAGATCTTTTGCGAAAATTACAGATTTTTGAGGTTCATTTTACAGGTACACGTCCGAAGAGGCTAACATGTATGTCAGAGGTGTCAAGAAACAAAGTACATGTACGTTGTTATTTTACTTAAGTAAAAAGTTTGCTTATTACAATGTACTTGAATTGTTTTCAGTATTATAGCATGAAGATGACTGGCAGATATGCGGTTGAAAAAGGAAGCCTAGTGCGTCCTGCATTTTTCAACATCAATATTTTAATGTTGAAAAACATTATAGTCATTATGGTATCAGCTTGTGGGGCTTTGAGGGAAATAGGTTGGGAACCACTGAAGACAGCAGTGCAGCAGCATTTCTGTGCTGAGAAGCATGGAACCCTGTTGAAATTGTTCAGGTTCTTATTTTATTGTGATTCTTTTCAGTTATTTTAATTTTTCTTCCTCAAATAAAATTCTGCTGAACCAAAATCAATAACATTTACACGTAAGTAAGTGGTAGTAAGTTACTATCTAGGGCTTGTGTATGTGGCTCACAGAAATACTCAGATGTGTTAATTTGTTGGGGGCACAATCTTTGAGGTTTTTGGGACTTTGTTCTGTAACGTCTAAATTGTAAGTTAAATCCTTAGATTGACACATTCCAAGCACCAGATGGTATAGGCCAAGCTCGCTTCTGCCAAAAATTGTTTTTGCTACTTCATAAACATTGTAATATCTACTTTTGATTTCTTTTCAAAGGTTTACAGTTGAACTGTCATGAAACTCACCATGTTGTATCCACAGACAGCATGCGGCTTGTGAATGATACACTAAAGAAAATATAAAAGTACACAATTGTCCCACAATTGAATTGTCCCACTTATTCTCTGGTGAGTGTTTTGTGACTTTATTTCTCTTTTATTTACATATTGGTGGTAAGTTTGCAGCAGCTGGGCTACGATCCGCCAGCATCAAAGCAACATTGTTATATAGAAACCTACTGAGACCATGTACAGTATAACTGAGTTGGATGGAATTAGAGCAAGGTGAGTCATACTGAGTGCTTCAGTTGTAGTGCTCTTGAGAAGGGTTGGTGCTATTTTGAGCAAAAAAAATCTGTTCCACATATTTTCTGTGTTCAAAATTCAAACGACAGGACCGAGAGATTCTGAGATTTAGGCAAGAAAATGAAATGCCTCTATGCACTCCATCCGAACTGCCAAAACCGGCTCTCGTTGTAGCAGTTGCATGTCGGAAATTATCATTTTGTTTGCAGCTTTGAGTCTTCTGCAAAGATACTTGCTTGAGGTTTTGCCAAGAGTAAAATAACTGAATGAACTTCAAACCAAATTTCTCATAATTCCTGCTGTTTTCTGACTCCTCACTCCAACCAAAAAGAAGATTGGAAGGACATCTGACACCCTCAGAGCCTTTAGGGCCTCAGATCCTTTTCATACGAAATGAGTCAGAAAAACATTTCAAACATTTATCAGGTTAAATTAAATCTTCAAAATTTTCCTGATAATTTATCACCACCAAAGACCACATTGGATTGCAGTTAAACTGTTTCCTTCACTGCTACAGGAGAGGAATGCTTCCCTGACACCCCCTGGGTGTAGGGGGTGGGG